AACAAATTGGACAATCTAGAAGAAATGGATAAATATATAGAAACACAATTTTCCAAGACTGAACTACAAAGAAATAGAAAATCTGAGTAGAGCAATTATGAAAATCGAATCAGTAATCAAAAACCTCCAAACAAACAAAAGGCTAGGGCCAGATGGCTTCACTAGTGAATTCTACCAAACATTTAAAGATTTAATATCCATCTTTCTCAAACTCTTCCAAAAAATTGAAGAGGAAGGAGTGCTTTTAAACTCATTTTACATGGCCAGCATTACCCAGATACCCAAACCAAAGACACCGCAAGAAAAGAAAATTGTAAGACAATATCCCTGATGACCATAGATGTAAAAATCCTCAACGAAATATTAGCAAACCAAATTCAACAATACATTAAAATGATCATACACTACAATCAAGTGGGATTCATTCCAGGGATGCAAGGATGGTTCAACAATCACAAATTAATCAACATGATACACCACATTAACAAAAGGAATGATAAAAATTATATGATCATCTCAAGAGATGCAGTAAAAGCTTGGACAAAATCAAACATCCACTTATAAAAACTCTAAACAAAGTAGGTATAGAAAGAGCATACCTCACTGGGTGTTATATGTAAGTGATGAATCACTAAATTCTCATGAAACCAGTATTACACTATATGTTAACTAGAATTTAAATAAAAATTTGAAAAGAAAGGGGCGCCTGGGTGGCTCAGTCGGTTGAGTGTCCGACTCTTGATTTTGGCTTGGGTCATGATCTCGGGGTTGTGGAATGGAGCACCTGGTCAGGCTCTGCACTCGGCATGGAGTCTGCTTGGGATTCTCTCTCTCTCCCTCTCCCATTACCCCTCCCCCTGCACTCAATGAGCTCTCTCTCTAAAATATTTTTTGGAAAAAAAGCGCACATCTCCACATAATAAAGGCCATATATCACAAACCCACAGCTAACATCATACTCAGTGGTAAAGAGCCGAAACTTTTCCTCTAAGACCAGGAACAGGACAAGGATGCCCACTCTCACCACTTTTATTAAACATAGTATTGAAAGTTCTAGCCACAGCAATTAGGCAAGAAATAAAAGGCATACAAATTGCAAAGAAGTAGAACTATCACTATTTGCAAATGACATAATACTACAAAATAGAAAACACTGAAGACCACACAAAAAAAGGATTAGTATTGATGAATTCAGTGAAGTTGTTGTAGGATATAAGATCAATATACAAAAATCTGTTGTTTCTATACATGAATAATGAACTGTCAGAGAAATCAAGAAAATAATCCCAGTTAGTTACATCAATAAGAATAAAACACCTTGGAATAAATTTAACCAAGGAGGTGAAAGACCTGTGTACTGAAAACTCTAAGCCATTAATGAAAGAAATTGAAGAAGATACAGATAAGCAGAAAGATATGTCATGCTCATGGATTGGAAGAATTCATATTGTTAAATATCCATACTAACCAAGGCATCCTACAGATTTACTACCATTCCTATCAAAATACCAATAGCATTTTTCACAGAACTAGAACAAGTAATTTTACAATTTATGTGGAACTACAGAAGACCCTGGATACTCAAAGCAATGTTGAGAAAGACGAAAGCCAGAGGTATCATGCTCCCTGATTTTAAACTAGAACACAAAGCTATAGTAATCAAAACAGTATCGCACTAGCACAAAAACACAAAGATCAGTGGAACAGAATTGAGAGTCCAGATATAAACCTTCACGTATATGGTTCATTAATTTTTGACAAATGAAGCAAGAATACCCAAGGGAGAAGAGACAGTAAATGGTGTTGGGAAACCTAGATCTGCTACACACAGAAGAATGAAACTAGACCATTATTTTATACCATATAGAAAAATTAACTCAAAGTGCATTAAAGACTTGAAGACCTGAAACCATAAAACTCCTAGAAGAAAACATAGGTGGTAAAGTCCTTGACATCCATCTCATCACTGATGTTTTCTTGGATCTGACTCCAAAGACAACAGGGAAAAAGCAAAAATAAGCACATTGGACTACATCAAACTAAAAAGCTCTGCACAGTAAAGGAAACTATCAACAAAATGAAAAGGCAACCTACCCAATGGAGGAAGATACTTGCAAATCATATATGTGGTTGTATTCATATCCAAAATATATAAAGAACTCTTAAACTCAATAACAGAAAAATCCAATTAAAAAATGGGCAGAGCAGTAAAACAAACATCAAGTAGAGCGTTTATTCATTATCTTAGTAGCAATGAAATTGCAGTTCAGATGTTAAAATTTGACTCAAGATGTTATAACCAAGTCATGTAAAAAAAATGGTAGAGGATCTAAATAGACATTTTTCCAAAGACATCCAGATGGCCAACAGGCACATGAAAAGATACTCAACATCACTGATCATGAGAGAAATGAAAAAACCACAATGAGACACCACCTCACACCTGTCAGAATGGCTGTTATAAAAATGACAAGAAACAACAGGTGTTGGCGAGGATGTGGAGGAAAAGAAACCCTCATATATGGTAATGTAAATTGGTGCAGCCACTGTGGAACAGATATAGAAGTTCCTCGAAAAACTAAAAATAGAAGTGCCCTATGATCCAGCAATTCCACTACTGGTTATCTATCTAAAGAAACTGAAAACACTAATTTGAAAAGATATATGCATCCCTGTGTGCACTGCAGCATTATTTACAGTAGCCAAGATATGGAAACAACCTTCTTGTCCATTGATGGATGAATGGATAAAGATGTGGCGTGCACGGGTGTGTGTATACAGTGGAATAGTATTCAGCCATAAAAAAGAAAGAAATCTTGCCTTTTGCAACAACATGGATGGACCTAATGGATGTTATGCTCAGTTAAATAAGCAGACACAAAGACATATACCACAAGATTCCACTTATATGTGGATTCTTAAAAAATAAAACCAAACCAAACCCAGACTCGTAGAGAACAGATTGCCCGTTGCCAGAGGCGGAAGTGGGTTGGAGTAGGGAACAAAAAGGTAAAGAGATCAAGAAGTACAAACTTGTAGTTATAAGTCGTGTGGATTTAATATACAGCATGGGGAATATAGTCAATAATATTATATTTGTATGGTGACATAATTAGACCTACTGTGGTAATCATTTTGCAATGTATATAAATGTGGAATCATCAAGGTGTACACCCGAAACTAAAATAATATTTATATCAGTTATACCTTGGTTTTTTTAAAAAGCTAAGCAAATGACTTAATTTTCATTGCATGTCTGTAGGACTCATAAAATTGAAGTGTCCGTAGCAATGGTCTTAAAGAATAATAGGGTTAGTTACTGCACAGGGGCAACCAGCTGTTCTTCATCTCTAATAAGGCTGGGAAAGAAGGAAATTAGCTTCAACTGTAATAGAAGAGATTTACAAGACTTGTAATGAGAAATTAATCATCAACCGAGAGTATTTTAAAAATAAGAGCAGATAGCCAGTGAGTAGAAGTAGAGGAATGATGTCTTCCATCGGTTTTGACATAGACTATAACATCTGCTCGAGGAACTTAAACTTGATAGCTTAATAGATCCAATAGTTTTCAGCGTTTGGGAAGTCATAGACCCCTTTGAGAATCTGATGGGGCTCCTCTCCAGAAAAATGAACACACAAATAAAACTTTGCATGCAATTTCAGGGAACTTACAGACTCCCTGAAGTCTATGCATTAGACTCTAATTTAAGACCCACTGGATTAGAGGATTTCCGTTAAGTACTAAACGGTGACACACTCCATGGCTTAATTTTCCCAAACAGAACGATGGAATCTGAAGATCAGATGTCAAACTTTGGATTTTCTTCCTCTAGATTTATCATACTTGGCATGCACAGTGTTGAAGTAAAAACAAAAAAATAGAATTCTACTTTTAAATTCAATTCTTGGTCCTAGAGAAGCCAGATGTTTAATTTTAAAAGTCACTGGTTGGCTGTATATCATCTTCATAAACACACAGTAAGACTAGGCCTTCGCCCGGTCCCCACTCCCAGCTCCGCATTCATGGGGGACATGCAGACAGAGATGCCGGCATTATTCCACGTTCACACACCTCCAACTGCACTGCTGTGAATGGCTGGCTGGGCTTGGAGAGACTGTCTACCTACAATTCTCTTTAGTCTTACGCCCAAGTTTCATTGACTACAAGTTGGAAAATGACTACCCAGAATACAAATCAGGAAATAATTTGCCCTCTCCCTAAAATAAAGCACGTTCACCCTCTTAGGAAGTAAGAGCATGTGTGTGTTAAACTTGGGATGAGTTCCTCCAGACTAGGTAAGTGAGTGCAACCCTATGTGGTTTTCCCGTTCCCTCTGCAACTAGCCTCTAGTTTACCTGCAAGTCCTGTAGCACTGCCTCTAGTTCCAAATTAGAAACGTCCTTGTTTCTTATACCCGGAATCAAGAACTCTGGAATCCCACACTTCCCGCTGGGCAAGAACATCATTGTCACGTCTGCACCTTGTTGGTCTTCGCTGTCCTTTATGCTGCTAAGCCAAGCTTAAATTCGTAGCTGGGACTGTCTTATTGAAATAAGAAACACTGCTGATGAATGGGAGGCAAGTGGTCTCAGCCAGGGTCTCCTGGGACCATGCACACCATAGGTTGGTTCTTCTGACAATTATTCCTTCCCATTGTTGAAGGGGAGAGGCACTTAAGTATTCTCCCCTCTACCCACCGCAGCAATCTTCACATGATATCTGTGGACAGATACTCTGGGGTGAACTCTGCCACTGCTCCAAGACCTTACTGGGCCGATAAAGGTTGTTCGGGAGCTGGAATTGAGGAGGACAGGCCATCCCGGCACCTAGCCCAGCTGTAGCTCAGCTTAGTGACCGATGGAGCCCCTCTCTTCCCTGGAAAGCCTGTTGGCAGTTCACACCCGTAAAGCTTATTTAGGTCTCTCTGGGATTGAAGCTTATGGTAGAATCGCACATGCTGGTGAATATTTATTCCTTGTGTGTCTCCCTCCCCACAGAGAACGTGATCAATGGGCAGGATTACGAAGTGATGATGCAGATTGACTGTCAGGTGATGGACACCCGGATCCTCCACATCAAGAGCTCGTCAGTTCCCCCTTATCTCCGAGATCAGCAGAGGAATCAAACCAACACCTTCTTTGGCTCCCCGCCAGCAGCCCCGGAGGCAGCCCACGTTGTCCGCACCATCCCGGAGTCATTACAATAGACTCTGAGGCTGTGCCAGAAAACACGGTGGGACCCTGCCCCCGCTGCGCTGGAGAGCCGGGGAGAGACCTGTTCCTGTCTGCCCTCTTGGTGGCAGGCCGAGAGCTGCCTCGCAGTAGGGTTCCAGGGGTAGCAAGAAAAGTTGTTTTTCACCGTCTGCCCTTCTACTGGGAAAGCACTGATACTCAGACACAAGGGCAGTGGCCTTTCTCCGACGGCAAATGTTGCCTGCATCCTCCTTGCTGCCTGGTGTCGAATTTTTTCTGTACCTTCCTAAATTGCTTTTCCTCCTGTATTTCTTTTGTTTAAATAGTCCTCTTTAAAATAAGATCTTCTTCCCTTCTCTGCCATTTCACTTATTGATAAAGAGATTTTTATTTATAGCTGTACAGCACACTGATGTTTCCAGTAATTAGAGTTTTTATTAATTTAATGCAAATCCATTCTGGATATTGTGCTTATTGGAAACAGATTTCAAAACCAGAACAGCCAAAATTGTCCCCCAAAAGAGTCAAGACAATTGAGGGCTTTAGGTAAAAGGGAGAAATCCCAATTGGGTAAAGTTGGTCTTTGCCTGGGAATTGTGGCTCCCACCTGAGCCGGCGTGTGCGTAACTGCGTGGGGCACCGGCACAGGGCAACGGGGTGGAGGGACTGTCAGGGAAGAGCAGGGTCCACGTGGGCCAAGGAAGGAGGAGCCAGCTCTGTTAGCACACGTTTAAAACACTGCAGGTTTTGTTGTGACTGGAGTTTGATGAAAGCCACAGCAACCTTTTATTCTGAGGCCACTGAGTGTTAGCATATGTGCTTATATGTTCTCTGTACTTGTCTGGTGCAGGTCTGTAAGGACCCCGGGACAAATCCTTCAGCCTGTGAATCCCCACCCACGACACACCTTTTACTAATATGACGATACTGAATTCGGCTAAGGAACACGCAGGGTGATGTTAAGCAAATAGTTTTTTTTTTTCTCATGAGAATTGGCAGGTATTTATTCCTTAAGACTCTGCAGACAGGCCAGCTTGGATTCCTGTTCAGGTTGTGCATCCCACAATCCAGCAATAATTTTCAGTTTCTCCAGGGAATAGACAGTGAAGGAATTAACTTTTTTGTCCTCCCATGGTAAAAAAAAAAAAAAAAGAAAGAAAGAAAAAGAAAAAATAGCCCTACTGTGTTCCCTCATATCTTACTGTACTTTGATTACTTTCTTCTCCTCTCTGGTGTTCTGCCTTCAGTTTCTAAAGTGAGTCTTCCTGTTCTCCTATGAAACCTCGCACTTTCTTGCTAGAACTCGTTCTGCAGACATGGCTTCTTACCCTAATCCACTTGCCTGGGTCGGCGTTCTTCCCTTCCAGTCCCCGCTCCGGCCTCCCATTGCTCTGAGTTGGAGGAGGAAAGACTGTGGGTGCAAGTCCTGTGGGGTGCCCCGCGGCCGGCCCCCTCCTGCCCCCTTCTGCCCACAAGGGTCAGCCTGGCTCCTAAATAATTCTGAAGAATCACTCAGGCTTCCACCTCTGGACAGCGGCGCCTCCGTGCCCAAGCTCCAATGGATGCGCTCCGAGGAGATCTGTGTAACTTCGTGCGGCCAAGGGGGCGCTCTGCTGCCCGGGTCCCCAGGAATCTGGGGTTTGGTGGCGTTAACGAGCCTTGTTCTGCCCCCCACACGAGACTGCAACAGCCCCCACTGCGGCTGCTGTCCAGGGCGACGTCCACACGGGAACCACCTTCCCCGGGGCCACTCCGCCTCTGATGGGCGCCAGGCCCATGCGGACAAGACCTGCACATGGCAGGACAGCCTTCTCTCGGGAGTGTCTCCTCCCATTGTGCACACCAGCCAAGCACGTAGCCATGGCCCTGGCCAGGGGGCAAGGGGACATGGTCATTCCCAAGTTGCTAGTCTGCCCGAGCTGTCACCGCTGTCACCGTGGCCACGGGCACGGCCTTACAGACGGTGCTTCCTGTCCCGTGTGCGGACTGTCACCCACAGGCCAACTGCCCGCTTCTCGCCCTGTGCTCAGCCTTCACCCTCCACCCCAGCTTCCCTGACCGGTCCGACCAACGGTGGCAGTCACGTCATGTCAGCCCACCTGGATGCCTCTCCTGCAGGTGGGGATGCAGGCGCCGACGGCAAGGAGTCCGGACCGCACATGGCAGCCTGGGAGCCGTGCCCGCTCTCCCCCTGGTTTCACTCCTCAGGCTGAAGTCTCAGGAAGGGAGGGAATGACCACCGCGAGGCAGTAATCTCCTTTTGTAATTACTGTCAGAGCTCTTACTAATTCCTGGGCCCCACAGCGGTTCTGCCGTAACATCTATGCTCGCCCGAGTTAAGCATGTTGGGAAAGAGAAAGTGGCTATGCCTGATGAATAAATTAAGCTGCTGTTTGGGTTTAGTTTTAGGTTGAAATCGCCTTTTGGGGATTGCAGCCAGGAACGATGGGGGCTCTGCATCTAAATTTATTAAGTTTATATTAAGTGGGATTTTGCAAGCTTGTGGGATAATTAGATAAACTAGAGGAGGCAAGTCCACCCATGGGGTAGGGAACGCTCTTCCCTTTGTCTACCCCATTCCTCCTCCCCCAGGAAGTGGCGGCGGGCCTGGCCGGGACCGATTCTCCCATCTGCTTGCAAGCCCCACGTGTGGAGGCTTCGTGGCAGCGGATGGTTCCTCGTACTAACCACTGAGTCAGGCGTCGGGGCTCCCCCGCCACAGGGTTAGCTCCCCCAGCAGAACATCAGCCTGGTAGTGTAAATGGCCTCTTTCCAAAGTTGGGATTTGTAAAGGGATCATCTTGAATCAAAAGTTTGCCATGCTTGTCATTTAGAAGCTTTCCATTACATTACTGGGTGAGGTTTATCTTTTCACAAGTAAAAAAACAAAAACGAAAAAACTAATTATAAAATCTCAGAGCATCTTCGAACTTTTTTCTAAATGACTACAGGCTCCAGCACCAAGCTGACACGTCTTTGCCTTTTCTTGTGAGCAAGAAGTAGACACGGAGGTATTTGAAAGCAGCAATGTTATGAGTCATTCTTGAGTGTTCTGAATAAACATTACTTAGAAACAGACAAGCAACTTGGGATTCAAACTGATTTTTCTATCCTTTTTAAAGAGACACTGTCCTGACAAATCTTCCAGGCCTGACTCTCCGCCCCCTCCCACGTCCACCCTGGGCATGAGCCCCCATCGGCAGTGACCCTGATGAGACGCCGTGGCTGCAGCCTTTGGGGTGATGGAAACCGTACCCCTCTCCAGCTCCTTGCAACGTTTGCACTACTTTCTGGCTCTTGCCCTCTCACTCAGCTCAGATTGTGAAACTTGGCAGAAAAATAGCACAGGGAAAAACCCGTATTTGACTTTCAAACACTGAAAAGTTTCCAAGTGACTTCTATTCTCAGCTACCTAGGAGAAGTCGCCCCTTTTTACCGACGAGCCAGTCAGACCCCACGTCCCCTGCAGCCTGACCTCATGGACGCTTTCCACCCAGCGAAGCCTGGTCCACTGCATCCCCATGGGCAGCAGAGTCCAAGGAACTGAAGTTCGAATGAAGCCTTTCATCCCATTGGCTGTTTCAGGCACATTAACCTCCCAAGATTGCTTAATGCTAGAATTGACAGATGCTTATCACCACCTCTGGACCCCACACTTTTACCAGAATGTTATTTTTGTCCTGCCTGAGTCATTCTAATGTGAGAAATTAGGATCTTTGCTGCTAATATGAGCACTAATTATAATCATACCTTAAAAACAAGAATAAAGCCTAAAGAAAGGAAATGTGAGAAATTTTCATTCCTACCCTTAGTCACATTTGGGAGGGAACAACTTCTGTGTCCCCCACCCCTAGGGGTTGTGGTCGATTTTTAATTTTCTAGGAAGACAATACTGGACTACCCAAACAGATGTTGCTCGAGCCCCGATGGAACTATGCACGTAAAAGCCGTTTTCTCCTACCTGAAAATAGAAATCAGAGTGTAGCCTGTTAACTTATATTTTTAGTGACTAAGCTTAAAACAGAGTTTATTTTAGATAAGTCTAGAGCTTTGAGCAGATTGTTCTAATAGTTGTGTTATCTGTCAGGTTATGAAAAGAATGACAAAAGCATCTTGATCAGGAAATTTGGTCCTGTGCATGAATCATGTCATGGCTAGCCACTGCCAAATAGTGGTCCCGGTCTCGACATAATGGTTTTCTGACTAAGCATTAGAGGTATAGCACATTAAGAGAATTATATTAGTTTGGGGAACCGAGAAGTAAATAAATCGTAGTTTATCATTTGCCAAGGTCAGCGGACAGCACCGTTGGTGACCACTAGTTAAACCAGGAGGCTTCATCTAGCCCCCCTCTGGGTAACCCGAGAGAGAGACCACTAGGTTGACTTTCACAGTCATTGTCTATCAGACCATTCAACTCACACTCAGCCCTAATTGCCAGGTCAGTCATCTGGTTAAGAGGGGGAAAGAGAACTGTAGATGAAAACTACCAGGTACTGCTGGCCTTAAGACACCAGTTCCCTGTTTCTCATCCTGTTGGCAAGTGTGGTTGGGCCAAGACCCATCGTGCTTCACCCATGGAGCCATCAGAGCCAGAGGAGAGAGTGTTCACCAAGCCTTTGACCAGGATTTTCCTTCTGAGGTTGCATCCACGCTAAATTAAGAGCAGGTTAAAGATGAGGAGCGACGAGGTACCAGTCCCTCCTGCAGTATGGCATTGGTTTACGATGCATAAAGAAACCATGACAACAGACTTACACGGTTTTAAGCAAGTCTTCACAATGTAATACCTGTTCTTTGTCTAAGATTCAAATAAAGAATTTTTAAGAAGCTTGCCTTATTTTGTACTGTATATAGAGAGAAAAAACCCAAAATGAATCTTCAATGTGAAGAGATTAGTAATGAAAAGGGAAACCTAAAATGGCTTGTGGCCTGTTACTGTTTAGATGAAAACAATAGAACTCTTTTCCACTCTTCCCCCCCGCCCCCCAGCCTGGTTAACTAAAATTTCCTTTATTGTGTCCAAATATTTCAACTACAATCTTGTCAAGGAGAAAAATTTGTCTAAGAACTCCGACTTCATCCTTCTACATCAGGAACCTGGGTTACTCAGTCACACCACAGGCATCTTCCCAGCCTGGAATGACCAATGTCGCCGTGCACGCAGCTTGTCCTGCCGGCTGACAGCAGAGTCCATCCAGGGGTGAGTAATGCAGGCGCTCCCTGAGCATGCAGCGTATGCCTCAGACACCACTCTAGGCTCACTAGTCCCGCTCTCCTACTTCAGTCCTCCCAGCAGCCTGGTCCTACCACGGTCACGTGACTAGGAAGCGGCATAACCAGTATCTGGACCCAGGCAATTTCGCTCCAGCAAGTGGATTCTTGGCCACCATATTGTTCCACTGCCAGAGACCGATCCCGCCTAAGTCCTGCCCTGAAAGAGCTCACAGTTGGCCTGTGGAGCCAGATACAGAAATACACAAAATTAATAACATCAGAGTTCTCTTAGAGGCAAAACCACGTGTGTTTCCAAAGACACTGTAACTGACCTCTTTGGAAAGTGAGACCCCAATTCCCCACGTCTGCCGAGAAAGTTAGCTGACGCTGGAGGATGGGCTGAGCAGCAGAAAAGAGAAAGTGGGATTGAGCCACAGGCTTGGTGTCTGGGTGCTGGAGCTGTCAAATGTAAATCCTCTTTATCGTCCCAAACCTTCAGTTAAAAAAAGCCTGCTGCACACACAGCTTTGTG